CATACACAAACACAGTCAGACACACACACAGACACAAACACACACACACATACACAGTCAGACACAAACACACACACACACACATAGACAGTCAGACACACACACACACTCCACACTCACAAACACACAAACACAGTCAGACACACACACACACAAACACACAAACACAGTCAGACACACACACACTCACAAACACAGTCAGACACAAACACACACACACACACAGTCAGACACAAACACAGTCAGACACAAACACAGTCAGACACAAACACACACACAGTCAGACACATACACACACACAGTCAGACACATACAGACACAAACACAGTCAGACACAAACACACACACACACAGTCAGACACACACACATTAACTTTATTTTTAATTTAAATCCCCCCCCCCCAACCTCCTTACCTTTGGGAGTGGGGGGGGGAGGTCTCTCTCTCCCTGGTGGTCCAGTGGCTGCAGGGCGGGCGGCGCTGGCAGGCGGGCGGCTGGCGAGGGAGCACCTCCTCTGAGCTGACTGCTCAGCTCCCTCGCGCGCCGGCTGCAGAGTGAGGCTGGGAGCCGGAAGATGACGTCATCTTCCGGCTCCCAGCCTCACTGTGTGGCGCGCAAGGGAGCTGACCAGTCAGCTCATAGGAAGTGCTCCCTCGCCAGCCGCCCGCCTGCCAGCGCCGCCCGCTCGGGATGTCAGTTAGCCGCAAGGCTAACTAGGCATTTGCCCTGGGCATTTGGGGGGCGGCGTTTTTTGCCGCCCCCTGAAAAATGCCGCCCAAGGCAAATGCCTTGTTTGCCTCGCGGCTAATACGTCCCTGATTATAAGCGGAGATAACCTGGGGAATATTGCATCTCCGCTACAGTCACTTTTTAACTTAATATTTAGTATTTTTTAATATTTTTATATATATTACATATATTTTATGTATATATATTCTTTATATATATATATATATATATATATATATATATATATGATTTTATGTGGACTTTTTTAATTATTAGCACTAATATCATCAATGGACTTGGATGCTAGCACAGTAGGGATCCATTTACCACTGGCTTATATCTTTTTAGGTGGGCACCTTTATAACACTCATTCTTATATGCATGTACTGGCACTTTAAATGGTCAACATTAGATTGTTATATGCAATGACCTTGAACTACATATTTTATGAATTAGTCTGAGAAGAATTTTTATTAATACAATTTTCTCTTCTCCCCCTGACTCTCTGTATGTATACTGTCCATACTGAGTTGTTGTGTTGTGAATAGAGATGGACTTATGGACATTTGCAAAGGAAGGGCATTTGCCCAACTCTAAGATGGACGCTACAGAATTAACAGCACCTGTCTGTAAACATGCCCAATCAGTGACGCGATACGTGACGTTCCGGGTCACGTGGGGCGCCCTGTAATCGGAGCATTATTACCTTCAACGGACGCAGCTGTTTACAATGGGCAGGGCAGCTCTGAGAGCGGATTGGAGGAGATAATTGAATGACCAAACAGGAGGAAGAGCATGATATTTAAACAAACACATCACCGACTGAGAGATACATTGAGAGATACATTGATTCAGCGCATCTCTATGAGGAGGTGCTGATTGGCCAAAATGGCATTTGGCCCAGCCCCCTTGATGATTTTAGCCAATCCAATGCTTTCCCCATGGGGGAATTGCAATTATGATGTCACCAAGGGGGTGGGGCCAGTGCCGGCAGACCCGTGGAGAGATGGAAATAAAAGGTGAGTTTTAACCCATTCTGAAAATGGCGATACCAATAAATTCAAATTTTTATGGGGGTCATTATTGTGAAGGCTAAAATGTGAGGAGACAATATGATTTTTAAAGGTACACTATAGTCACCTGAACAACTTCAGCTTAATGAGGTTGTTCAGGTGAGAACTACAGCTCCCTGCAGCCTTTCTCATGTAAACACTGTATTTTCTGAGAAAATACAGTGTTTACATTGAAAGCTAGGAACACCTCCAGTTGAAGTCACTCAGAGTGAACCAGAGGGACTTTGGAGTTGATGGAGGCATAATATGCCTCCATCCACTCAGATCTGCTGTCAGCAGAGCACAGGGCAGCACTGTGCACAGCATCCAAACATTCAGTATCTCCTCCCTCTGCATGCAGACACTGAACTTTCCCCATAGAGATTTATTGATTCAATTCATCTCTATGAGGAGATGCTGATTGGCCAGGGCTGTGTTTGAATCATGCTGGCTCTGCCCCTGATCTGCCTCTTTGTCAGTCTCAGCCAATCCTAATGGGAAGCACTGTGATTGGATCAGGCTACCACATGTCAGCAGATTGCTTGTTTTTCCTGAGTTTCAGCATGCAGATTTACAGCTTCAGGCTTGAATACAGTAAGATTTTTACTATATTTATGGAGGCATGAGGGCCCCAGGGGGGCTAGATGGTGGTTTTAACACTATAGGGTCAGGAATACATGTTTGTGTTCCTGACCCTATAGTTATCCTTTAAATCCTTTTTCAATACTCCAGCAATATTTGCTTATTCTTATTTTTAAGGTCTTAATGGGACACTCCCTTGCTTACTAAAACATTGCACATACAGACTCCAAGACTCAAATGACTGAAGTGGTCATGGTGTTTGGAGTAACCATTTAACATTTCTCACTTCTTAAACACAGGTAAAGAAATACAAAAAAGATATGACATTAAGTTATTTGCTTTTATTGCAGACATACGTTACTGAGGATTCACAACTGGCAGTATAACAACTGTTTTCATTACTGCATTTTGCACATGGAGATCATGAAAAGGCAAACCTTGAAATCTTCAAACTGCCAGAAGTTTTTATTTTTGTCGTCTCCTCCAGTAATAGTTGTGTTTGCGTTTTTGCCCTGCGAAAAGGAAGAAAGCGTCTATTAATTAAGTGTTCTTGCATAGCAAGACCACTTATTGTTATCTCACATATATATTCTTATTCTTATTCTTATTATAGCCAAATTTGCCACCCTAACGCCTCCCACAGTTTTTACACTACAAAGACAAAAATTTACCAAAACGTGCAGATTGTTCCCGATCGGATTGCTATTACTTTGTGGAACGTTTCGCCGAATGGTTCACGGAATATCGTCGTTCTTATGGCGCAATTTGTCCCATAGGAATGAATGCAAAGCTAGAGTGGGAGCTGGCAAAAGCTGAAAGATCAGGACATGATTTCTAAACTGCCACCACTCCCTTATTTTCAGGCCCACCGACACAAATCTTATATCAAAACGTTCAGCTATCCCTGCTGCCACTAAACAAGTCAACGGCTAAGCCATAGTCCTGATAGTTTTCACATTATAATCATTTGTTTGCAACTCACGCCTTCCCTTGACATTCATTGAACCTTCACTCTACAAAGCTCAAATTTGAAGTGCAATTTCTAACCTGCGACTGTGCCTTCATTTTTAATATTTCAGAGACATACTGTGCATCAAAATGTAGGTCTGGGTCTTGTGATTCTCACAATATAAAGCTCTTCGCTGTAGGATTTATAGTTTTTAAAATACGACCGTTTGAAGATGGCAACCGCCAAAATACTCTGACCTGTGCGAGGCTGCAGCAGCAAGTGATGTCAGAGACAGGGCCTTTTGAACACCTGCTAATGTTTTTATAAATGTATGGTTTAATGTAATTGTGCAACAACGTTGCAATTAAATGTGCTATATAAATGATAACAGTTACTCCGCCCACTCCAGGTGTAGACTACTGATGGAGGCAAGAACACTTCACACAATTTCCCCAGAAATTGTAGCTTTTCTAGTTTTAGATTAACATCCCATCTACAGTTTTAGTTTTATTTACTGAAGATCCCTAGTTATGCAAAACCGGAATCTGCATTTAGTGTAATGAAAATATTTGGAATTACCTCTTCTCCTTCTGGTCCTACGGGCACCGCTGCTTCTTTTTCTCCCCCTTCGGTAGGCCATGATTTTATGATGTTGCTTGCTTTAGGAGAAAAGGTGTTATGCTCTGAGAGGCCCCTGCAGCATCTTTTATAGCTGTTGGTGTTTGTGACATTTTGACACAATCACTTTGCTGGCTACCCTATATGGATATGTACAAATGAGTGCATCCAGGGCATGGGTGCCAATACATTATATTGTTTACCTTATATGTGATTTGTACATACAGATGGTACATTGGGAAAATCGGTTTTCCTTTTTTTTTTTTTCTTTACATGTCTTTTTGTGAAAAGGCAGTGTTTACAAAAATGAGAGTGTGCGGAGACTGCTTTTTGCACCAAAAGCAGTGTATTAAGATGTAATGGATCTGGTGTTTAGGTTGTTTCTTTAATGAGCTTTAATTCAGAATCACATAGAGGGGTCAATGGGGAACTTGAAAGCGTGGAATATGTAAGCTAGGGCAACAGGTAGCTGGTCAGAGGGATGTAGCATGAGCACGCATGAGACCAAGAGGACAGAATAGTGCAAAATGAGTATGAAGTACACAATCAAAATGGACAAGGGAGTAAAAACTTTCCATAAGAAACATAGAATGTGATTTCTGATAAGATCCATTCGGCCCATCTGGTTTGCTCAATTTTCTTAATACTTTCATTATATCTATGCATATCCCACGCATACTTAAACTCCCTCACTGTGTTAACCTCTATCACTTCAGCTCGAAGGCTATTCCATGCATAAACTACACTCTCAGTAAAGTAATATTTCCTGATATTGTTTTTAAACAGAGGCGGCTCTAGATTTTATGAGGCCTTAGGCGAAACTCAAACATGAGGCCCCACTAACACCCAAAGTGAAAAAATAATAGGGTTGCATTTTGTGTGTATAAGAAGCAGTCATTGTATTGAAAGGCGGGCTTGCAGCGCTGGATACAGAGTTAGTCTCTGCATTAATTGTTCAGAAGCTTGCAGTATTGCGGCTGTGCCCCTGCATTGTGAGCTCCCTGGCTGTAGTTGTAGCATAATTCTTAACAAAATTAATTTGCAATAAATAAATTTAATTTGCAAGTATGCCAATCATTTATACACTATTGTGGGGTATGGTTGCATAGCCTGCCAGTCGTGTATACATAAGTACTGGTGTGAAGGGGTTATTGGAAACAAAAATGAAATTTGTTTTGAGCAAAAAAGCTTTAAAAAAATAATTTACCAAATAATAAAGTGTGTATGATGTATGTCTGGTGACTGTGACAGGGTGAGTAAAGAGGTACCAGTGGCAGGGAGAGTGTGACAGGACAAAGGAGGTAAATGGACAGAGTGTGGGGTAGTTGTGAGAGAGAATGAGGGAGGGCGAGTATGACATGGTTTGATGAGGGAGTGTGACAGGGCAAGTGGAGGTAAGTGTGCCAGGGCAATAGTGGCATGGTAGGAGGGACGAGTGTGACAGGATTGGAGGGGTTAATGTGACATGGTAAGTGTGGTATAGTTGGGGGGTGTGAATATCCCAGGGTTGGTGTGAAGGGTGAATGTGGCATTGTTGGAGGAAGGAGTGTGACAGGATTAAGGGGGTTAAGGTGACAGGGTGAGTCTGGCAGAGTGCGACAGGATTAGAGGCATTAATGTGACAGTATAAGTGTGGCAGGGTTGGGGGGGGAGTGTGACAGAGAGAGAGAAGGTGAGTGTGACAGAATTAGGGGGTTAATTGATGTGGAAGGGGGTACTTGGAGGAGGGGGATAAAAAAGGTCGGGCTTAGTGTATGGAAGGGGGATACTGGGAACAAGGGGGTAATAGTATGAAAGAGGGGGGATACTAGGAGGGGGTGAAGGTGAGGGAGGGGGGATACTGGGAAGGAGGGGTGATAATGTGGAAGGGAGAATACTGGGAAAGAGGGGGGCGATGGTGTGAAAGGGGCGATATTGGGAAGGAGGAGGGTGATGGTGTGGAGGGGGGGGGGGACTGGGAAGGAGGAGGGATATTGGGAGGGGGGTGAGAAATACCTTTTTTTTCTCCCTGTGGTCCAGTGTGGGCTCCCTGGTGGTCCGGTGGCCATAATATCCCGTATGCAGCTCCTCAGTGTGCAGAGCTGCAAACCATGTATCTCGCGAGACCCGGTCAGAGCATTGTCATGGCAACCCGCGGTAATGCTCTGATTGGCCAGATCTCGCGAGACATATGGTCTGCAGCTCTTCACACCCAGGAGCTACAGACTGGTGTCTGCAACTCCCGACAGACTGGAGGGGCCTCACACCCGGCGGGACACAGAGGACCGAGGACACGACACAGTCTTCCCCCAGACGGTTTAGGTGGCTGCGAGGCCCCAGACAACGCGAGGCCTTAGACGCCTCTCTAATTAGAGAGCCATCTCTGTTTTAAAACCCTTGCCACTCTAATTTAAGACTATGTCCTCTTGTTGTGGTAGTTTTTCTTATTTTAAATTTAGTCTCCTCCTTTACTGTGTTGATTCCCTTTATGTATTTAAATGTTGCTATCATATACCCCCGTCTCGTCTTTCCTCCAAGCTATACATGATGTTAAAGGGACATTATAGCCACCAGAACAACTACAGTACCCTACTGTTGTGGAAATGAGATATTGACATAATTTTTAGTTAGTAAAATGTCTATTTACTCATCTAACTGTAATCAGCGCATAAGCTATTAACATGTGATTAGACAAAATGGCCACTAGAAGCTTCCAACCCCTCCCTCCCTCTAACACTGACTAACTACCTCGTGTAACAAGATGGCGCTGGAATCTGGGGGAGACCCTCATGGTCCCAGTGACATCGCCTTTAGTAGGCAGAGCATTATGAGAACCACTTAACACCTAACCAATTAATAAAGTATTATTTCATGTTATCTCTGACAATGCTTATGATGTAAATTTGCTTTAAAAGGGGCCTACCGTCCCCTCTGAATAAACATTCCTCAAGTTTTTCATCAACCTGAAACCTGTGTCTGGTGTGAATTACTTCAGGGAGCGTGCACGCACTGTTTCTTTAATTTGGCCAGGGGCAGATACACAAAATAATCAATTTATTGATTGATTTCCACTTCAATTGGCACCCAACGTGGGGCTCCGGATTTGCCGGTTCGGAGGGCCGGAAACCAACGGACCTGAGCGGACCTCCGGAAAGTGGGACACCCGGAGCCTGATCACCTCCAAAATACAGCCGTTGCCTGTATACTCCTGTTTTGTGTCAGTCTGCCTCCGCATCCACTTCCGGCTTCCAGAAGGCTACAAGACAGGTAATATCTTATCTGGTGCCTTTTTAAAACAAACCTGTTGATTTTCTATCTGCCTCCTGAGTATTGTATGAATGTGTGTGTTGGCCGGTGTATGTGTCTTCTTGTAGACTTTAGTTAGACCGCCTAGCGGGCGGGGAGTGTAAGCAGCCGGTGAGGGGCTGGAGACCACCCGAGTAAGAGGGCTGGGTTGTTATTAGCAGTGCTGGGGACCACCCGTGTGATAGGGTAGGGATACTGCAAGCAGCCAGAGAGGGGCTGGAGACCACCCGAGTGATAGGGTAGGGATATTGCAGGCAGCCGGTAGGGGCTGGGAACCACCCAGGTAACTGGGCTGGGATATCATAGACGGCCGGTGAAAGATTGTGGATCACCTGTTAGTAGGTGGGATTTACTGTACAGGGTTGCAGCCTGGAGAGTGAGGCTAGGGTTGTTGATATTTGATTTTCATTGCTTTTTGTTTTAATATGTACATGGCCATATTGTTTTCTGTCATTTTGTGGATTTTGTTCAATTGTTGTTACAGTGTGGGTACCCTCGGTGTGTGTGTGTCTTGTGGCTTGTTCTTGATTCTGGAGTGTACACTCATCTATACGTGTGTGATTTTTGCAAATGTCTTTTGCTTAGTGTTGCCACATTCATCTTTTCCTTTGTCCTCTATCTTTCCTGTGTTTCCTGCCCAGAGCTGTGTTAGTAACCCACGCTCGCCCGCCCGCTCCGGTCCGTGGCCACCATCTCGGGTGCACGGACTACTGTGACTGGTCTACGTTTAGGGAAGACGCACGGGACTCCAACCCCCGTGGCAGTCGAGCACTGTAGACTCTCCCTCTTCTTCTTCTCACTCTCCCTGTCTCCATTACGTGGCACCCCCTGTTTGGTTAAAATGGGGCAAGAACATGCTAGACCAGCTAAGGGGTTTTTGGCTTGTGATATTGTGAAAGAAAGGGCAGGGGAGGAGGCAATGTTAAAGATCAAGAAAATTGCTAAGATCTGTGGTTTTCAAATGTCACCTAGCGATAGGTGTGTATAAGAACCTGAGTTTTGGAGGAAGTTGCTTGTGGACAAAGAAGGGTTGTTGCTGGATAATGGATTGACAAAAGCCGTAGAGGCTTGGTATCGGGTTGCCAGGGGTCTTAAGCGGGAGGGTTGGACAGAAGAGGAGCTAGATTTTGAGGGGCAAACAATTTATGTGTACCATCGAAATGTTTGCAATGATGATGTTCCCTCTACAAACCCCCGACCACCGCCCTATGATGGCGCCCAAACCGCGTTGAGCAGCTCCTGCCCAGCATCCCCCATTAACGCCCAGGCGCCACTCCCCAGTGGCGTAGGACTTGGCTCCACCCCCTTATGTCCCGTGTTCGGAGCTGACAGAGCCTATTACTATCCAGTACCATTACACTCCTTCCCCCATGCTCCTACGTCCCAGCCACTCCTCCAGTCCTCCACCTCCCCCGACCCAATACAGTCATTGTCCCTCCTCCCAGTTCCCTCCCAGCCTCCAGTGTCTCCTCCACTGCCCCCTGTCCACCGTCCCTACCACAGTCCCCGCCTGTTCCCATTGTCCCACCTTCAGTTCTTCCTATTTCCAGTTCCGATCCTGCCCCGTTGACTCCGATCCCCGTCAAGTCCGCTAAGCCCTCTGACTCTACCACTACTACCGTGTTGTCCACCCCTTCTGTCAGTCTCGCTACTAATGCTTCCGGTTCCCCCGCTAGCTTGGTATCCTCTCTTCTCTCAATCCTCTCTGCCGCTCTTGAGTCTCCCCATCATCCCGTCCCGCCTCCCATGTGTCCCGACACTCCTACTATCCCCGATCCCCCTCCCCTTTTTCCTTCATCCCTCCCTGCTGAGTTGTCTCCCCTCCTCTCCGCCCTCTCAGCTCTAACCCGCCCAACTCCTTCTGTTACCTCCGTAGATCCTCCTCCTTCTCCCCATCCTCCCACCCCCATCGACCTGTCTTCTCTCAGTTCTGCCCTCACAGCCCTGTCCCATCCCCGGTCTCTACCCTTATCCCTTCTGGTTCATCCCCTCTGATTCCGTCATGTACGATTCAGCCAGGTTCCGCCTCTGTCCCGTGTGCTTCCGACCCAAGTCCCAGTTTCCCTCTCATGATAGTTGGCTCTGATGAACCAGCCACATCAGCCAAGCCCTATGCCATAGGAGTTTCCCCAGCGGCATTGGGCTACCATCCCACCACGTCACACCTGGGCAGCCCGCATAACGCTGCACTCGCTCCTCCGACCCAAACCCCTGCCACCCTGGCTGCTCCAGCCCCAGTCTCTCTGGCTGCTGCTTCCTATCAGGAGGATCATGTTGCCTCCAGGGATGATAACATGGATGAGCACGGCCCACTTCGCCCCAAGGGTAAAAGGCCATCACAGAGACAAACTGCCACCGGAGTACATCTCCACGTACCTCCCGCCGCTGCGGGAGCCCCACCCATGTATGTTACGTTTAACCCTTCACAAGCTGCCACCCTAGTCACCTCTCTCCCTGATCCTGAGAAACAACCCATGCCGTAGAATGGCCCAGATCCGTAGAGATCCGTCTGGCGGGATCTCTACAGTTTATGTGAAATCAAAGCAGGTGATGCCTACTGGCCTATTATGGCAAGGAGTTTCACTGATGCTCCTCTCACCACTGACACAGACTTCCAGTCTGGCATTACTTTCTGTGAACAACTCCGTGTATTGGCACAAGATAAATTGGCAGACCAAGCCACATGTATTAATGATATTGTTCAGGACAAACTTGAATCTGTTGAGAAATGCCATTCACGTTTAACTCAGACTTTCTCTGACCTAGGTTTTAGTACTTACAATAAAGCACATATTCAGATGTTGTCAGCTTCCTTTGTAGCTGGGTTAAAGGAGCCTAAACGTAAAGGGTTAATCCTATCCCGACCTGAGTACCGAATCATTCCGTTGGACACTCTCTTATTGGTAGCCAAGGGATTAGAGTCAGTGTCACAACCCGTACAGAGGAGAACAAACCCATTGATGCTTACCGCCCCTGCTGCTGTCACGGGGCCAGTCCAAGCCACCTCGAGCTATAGTACACCACCGGCTACTTCAATTCCTGCCCGAGACCGGCCCTCAGCTGTCAGGACCTGCTACAATTGTCACCAAACTGGCCATTTCCGTAGGGACTGTCCACTCCCCAGATTAAATAGGCCACTGCTTCCCCGGTACTCTAATCCTTCCCCAACAGCCTATGGCTACTTCCCCCCGGGGAATTTTCAGCCACCACCTCCCCCACCAGTGCCATATTTCCCACCGCTAGAGTATTCTCAGGCCCCTCCACCACCCCCAGACACTCGTACTTACCCTTCAGCTCCTGCTGATGGGTTTAAGGAGCACCGCCCTGTGGCTAGGTTAAACCGCAACCCTCAGCCTACTCCTCAGGCTAACCCACCTTCCACCTCTGCCCGCCATTAGACTGGCCCCGATCAGGCCCATTTAGATTTGTTGCAATAGGTAACCGGCAAGCCTGTGTCTGACACCCCTGCCATGGCAGTGTCTACAGGGGATGGGGGAGGGCCACTAGCCACAGTAGTTTTAGCCGTTGAGGGTCATCCCACTACTTTCCTAGTTGACACAGGTGCAGCCCGCAGTGTTCTCAGAGAACAAGACCTGCCTGACCCATCCTTCCTGTCAGACACCGATGTCTCTTGTGTTGGTGTTGATGGTACCCCCCGCAGTAATCCACTCACTAAATTCCTCCATATAGGTTCTGATATCCTTTCTCGGTTTGTTGTCTCCTCTACATGTCCCATTAACCTTTTGGGTGCTGATGTCCTGTCCCACCTCCAAGCCTCCATCACCTTCACTGCAGACGGCCAGGTTCAATTAAATACAAACAATAAGGGGGCGGGGCCGGACCGCCAAGCAGAGCAGACGCATGGCACAACAGCTCCTGCCATTCTCAGGCAAATTGGTCCCAAAATCGCAACTTCTGGCGCTGAGTCACGACAGACGACTGCACTATGAAGTGCTAGTACTGGGGAGCAGTCAGTGAACCGATTCTGAGCCCCCCTTTTGGGGAGAACGCGGAGCTCTAAGACCGAGGCCTAGTCAAGCCTGTCCGGGTGGTGAGTAGGGTGGACGGCCGCCGCCCTGCTATCCTACCTGGCTGCAACATGGGGGTCCCCTAACTCAGTGGGGTGATGGCCCTGCTTCCCCCCCTCTGGGCCGGTGGGGGTCATCCCGGCCTACCCTGGGGCTCTAACCCAATCGGAGACTCCACTGCGGAAACATCATTTAAGATGGCGGCTGGGCCTGACCGGAGAGAGAGGCCCCTCCTTGGGGCTCTTGGCGCTCACAGCGGGCTACTCAGGGAGAAATCATCTGAGCAACCTACCTATCCTGAGACCCGGCCTGGAGTGCTCCAATCGACACCGAGGACCTTGAGTGGAGATCAGCTGACTGGCAAAGCGGACTGAAAGGTATTCATGCTGCAAGCTGACACGATCCTCTGAAGCCAAGCTACGTGCACGACGGCAGCAGAGCACTAAGAAGACCTCACACATACCCAGCTCCCAACTGCGGCCGGCTGATACCGACCGACACGCTACACCACAGCTTCAATATACACAGAAGGAGCAGAGAAACACAGAACTGTGACCTGCCAGTGATGGGAGTTGGCTGCTCTCTGCACAGGGACTGGGGCTGCCTACTTTCTGTCTCCTGAACAACGTTCAGGATCACGTCCACCTCTCATGAGGGAGAGGAGTCTCTGTACGGGGACCCAGGGTTCTTTAACCACGGTGGCATGAATTTTTTTCCTTTTTCTTTTTTATGCAACACTAACCATGCCATCTTGCCTAGCAAACCTGTCTCTTTCACACAATCTATTTTAACTATGAGTTTAATTTTAGCCTGCACTTCCATCTCTCCACCCTGTTAACTTAGCTAATATGTTTAAACAGATTTACAATTAACCTACTCAGGCAAATATAACTGTACTGCACGTATGCAATCTGTTAGGCCCTGATGCAGCACGGTAATAATATGCTCAGATAATGCAGTGATGTGACCTTATGTACCAAGCAAATTTCAGCTATGTTCAGTTAGCATGTTAATCCCCATAGGCTGCATGATTGACCAGTTTACTCTTTTACTAAATATCAAGACAGGCAGATCTTCTATGCAACCATGATTCAATGTTTAACCTCTAACATGTTTCCTATCTTGAATATAAAGAAAAATGTGCTATGTATTTCAATGCCATACCTATGTTAATGTATGTTTCCGTACTTGCTTGCACCAGCTATCGTGGCAGTGCAAACATGATTGTTCACGCTAAGCACAAATAAAATAAAGAATTTAATAAAAATACAAACAATAAAAAAGGCTGCGCACATAAAATAAAGTCCAATTAAAAGGAAAAGAAAAAAGTCCAACTGGTTTATCCTTACAGGTGTCTTTGGTTGATGAGGTCTTCTACTTTTGTAGTGGTTTCACTTATTATGAAAGATAAAAAGAGAAAAAAAAAGGGACAACCAATGTTGTAGTACGTAAAATTCATATATAGACGTAAAAATAATAGTATAAAACTCACATTTACCAGAGCTAATGTCCAGCTCTGGAGTGAAGCGCGTACAGCGGTTTAATCCCCGCTTATGGGATATAAGGCAGGTTCCTCTCTGTGAATGGTATCCAATTCTCGGGATAAAAGAAACAGCCAATAGTGCTCACTGTATGGCAATATTAGTAAAATAATAAAAGAAATGTACTTACAAAATAAGAGCAGACCCACTGCTCTATGATGCCAGCTTGGGTGGATTGATCCCCACCTAAGGATTTCTTTGGGTACAGGAAACTTCCAGGAATTTTCAAGGTTTCTTATAAAACCAGTAAAAAATAAATAAAATAACAATAAAAGGCCAGGGTAAAAGAGAAGTATGTGTCTATAAAAAAGATAATTTGGCACATACAAATGACCAAAAATGCTTTAATATAGATAAAAAACACAATATTCAAATATCCATAACGCGTTTCGTCACAAAAGGACTTTTTCATTTGAAAAAGTCCTTTTGTGACGAAACACGTTATGGATATTTGAATATTGTGTTTTTTATCTATATTAAAGCATTTTTGGTCATTTGTTTGTGCCAAATTATCTTTTTTATAGACACATACCTCTCTTTTACCCTGGCCTTTTATTGTTATTTTATTTATTTTTTACTGGTTTTATAATAAACCTTGAAAATTCCTGGAAGTTTCCTGTACCCAAAGAAATCCTTAGGTGGGGATCAATCCACCCAAGTTGGCATCATAGAGCAGTGGGTCTGCTCTTATTTTGTAAGTACATTTCTTTTATTATTTTACTAATATTGCCATACAGTGAGCACTATTGGCTGTTTCTTTTATCCCGAAAATTGGATACCATTCACGGAGCGGAACCTGCCTTATATCCCATAAGCGGGGATTAAACCGCTGTACGCGCTTCACTCCAGAGCTGGACATTAGCTCTGGTAAATGTGAGTTTTATACTATTATTTTTGCGTCTATATCTGAATTTTACGTACTACACCATTGGTTGTCCCCTTTTTTTTCTCTTTTTATCTTTCATAATAAGTGAAACCACTACAAAAGTAGAAGACCTCATCAACCAAGGACACCTGTAAGGATAAACCAGTTGGACTTTTTTCTTTTCCTTTTAATTGGGCTTTATTTTATGTGCGCAGCCTTTTTTATTGTTTTTATTTATCTTGTCTTAAAGGGTTTGAGGGATTCCCCTTTTTTAAGGTTGCTGCCCAATAGTTATTTAGTGCTGTCTCATTCTTCTTATCAATTAAATACACCCTTGTCACGACAAGACACTTCTGTTCTTTGTTCCCTCCCCATATTACTACATCTCACGTCTCCTGTAGGGGAATCAAGGGTCCCTAATGCCCCCAGTGCTCTGAACAAAATCCCAGCAAAGCTATGGTCTACAGGCCCGGATGATATTGGCCGCCTCAAAGTCCCTCCGGTTGTGGTTACACTTCTACCAGGAGCTGCACCACCACGAAGACCTCAATAACCACTGAAACCTGCCCAGGCCCTCGCCATCTCTAAGCTTGTGGACAGCCTTTTGGCCAAGGGAGCCCTTGTCAAGTGTGTATCGCCATGCAACACTCCTCTCTTCCCTGTTACGAAGAAGACGGAAAAGGGTCAACCTGATCAATACCGTATGGTCCAAGATCTACGTGCTGTTAATGATGTCACAGTTAAGGACACAGCTGTTGTCCCAAATCCACATACCTTGCTGTCACAGGTTCCGCCCACAGCCAAATTCTTCACGGTGGTGGATCTTGCTAATGCATTTTTCAGTGTGCCCCTGGACCCATCCTGCCAGCACCTTTTTGCCTTCACCCATGAAGGCCAGCAATACACATGGACTGTCATGCCTCAAGGGGCCCAAAATTCCCCTACTCAGTTTGCCCGGGCCATGTCAATGGTCCTTGAACCCTGGCAGAAGGCTCACTTAGACGTCATCTTACTTCAGTATGTTGATGACTTACTTCTCTGCGCTGCTGATCTTCACACTGCTGAACGTGTTTCTGAAGACCTGCTATGCTTCCTAGCTGAAGAAGGCTGCAAGGTCTCTAGATCAAAACTCCAGTGGTGCCGGCCCTCTGTGGTCTTCTTGGGACATTGTCTTTCCCATGGCACCCGCCATCTTACCAAGAGCAGGATCCTAGCCATCTTGAATCTACCAACACCTTCAGCTCATCAATCTGTCCATGCCTTCTTAGGCCTCATCACTTATTGCAGATCTTGGATTCCTGAAGCCTTTCAACTGATGCAACCACTATATGATGCTCTAAAAAGCGAACCTTTCTCACTTTCACCTCATGCCCTTGCCTGCTTCACTGCCCTAAAGAAAGCAATTGCCTCTGCTCCTGCCTTGGGCCTACCCAATTACCAGTTGCCCTTCAAGTTGTTTGTCTCTGAGAAGTTGGGCCACGCCTCTGGGGTTCTTACCCAAACTCATGGCTCCAGACAAAGACCCATTGGCTATTTCTCCTGCATGCTTGATCCTGTTGCCAGAGGCAGTCCTTCCTGCCTGCAGGCAGTGTTTGCTGCAAGTGCCCTGTTAGAGAAGACCAATGACTTTGTTCTAGGTCATTCTCTGACCATCCTGGCTCCACATTATATTTCTGCAATCCTGCAACAGATTCAACCTAAGCACCTCTCTTCACAACGACACTTACGTCTACAAACTTCATTGTTGCTCTCTGACAACGTCACCCTTCAACGCTGCTACTCCCTGAACCCGGCCACTCTTCTGCCACTTCCCAAGGGGGGAGTGGCACAGTACTGGTATAGTTTGGACATCAACCCTGATGCTCGGATGGAATTCCAACTACCCATTCTTGCAGCTCCACATGATGCGCAACCAGAGACCTTGGTACACTGTACCCTGTGGTTCAAAGACACCCCAGGCCCTGATGCGGATTATGAAGAAGAACTATTCCACCTTGTGGAAATTCACATCACATTGACAGACTTACTATGGGACTCCAGAGGCAACATGGTTCTGCTGGTGCACCTCCCAACAGAAGTATCTCATTTCTACCGTCAATGGGAGACAGCTGTCCCACACATATCCTTCACCAAGTCTCCTGACCTCTCATGAAAAGATCTAGGCCCAATGGCCAAGTCCTGGAGTACAACAACTCAGGAACAACTTGAATTAATGGGAGTAACCAAGAAGATTATCAACTGCAATATAGCTGGCTATCCACGATACCATACAGAGATATGTGAAGATCTCCCTTCCATGGAACAAGATTCAGAAGCCCCCCATGATTGCTTTGAACAAATGAAGATGGAAACCACCCACCTACCAACTGTACATGAAACCGCCCTACCTAATCCAGATTGGATACTGTTTGTGGATGGTTCCAGATTTGCTGATGAACAAGGGCAATATCACACTGGATATGCAGTTACTATAGAATGTCAGATACTACAAGCAGCTGCACTTCCACCAACAAAATCAGCCCAAGAAGCCGAACTGACAGCCCTCACAGTGGCTTGTAAACTGTCTGAAGGTTTACGTGTCAACATTTATACAGATTCAAGATATGCCCTGGGGGTGGCACACAATTTTGGCCTTATTTGGAAAACCAGGGGGTTCCTTACAGCCGCTGGTACTCCAGTGAAGCATGGGACAGCCATTAAAGAACTGATGGATGCCTTGATACTACCAGCAGAAGTGGCAGTACTAAAAGTAAAAGCCCATGGGAGGTTGAATTCAGAAGAAGCATGAGGCAACCATTTAGCTGATCAAGCCGCCAAGGAAGCAGCACGACAAGGGTGGAAAGTGGACAGAAGAGTGGCCACCGAGACAACTCCCATCTATACCATGCAAACCTTGCCTACAGATCTCAGACTTTTAACCCCCTTAAGACCGGAGGGCGTACAATTACGCCCTATTTTAGGTGGCTCTAAATGCCGCCGGGCTCCAACACTCTGGTTCCTATTCACAATATAGCAACACAACATAGCTCGCTGATACCTAGGCCAAGTTGGCTCCTCTTACCTTAATTACTGTTGCTGGCTGGCAGTCTGTGGGCTTACTGGCTGCGGCTGGCAGGCTGTGGGCTTGCTGGCTACTGCCAGCAGGCTTTGGGCTTGCTGACTGTGGCTGGCAGGCTGCGGCTTGCTGGCTGCGACTGGCAGGCTGTGGGCTTGCTGGCTGTAAGCCTGTGGGCTGGCTAACTGGCTGGCTACAGGCCAGCCTGTGGGTTGGCTGGCTGGCCGGCCTGTGGGCTGGCTGGCTACTGGGGCACTTTTAGATTATTTAAAGAAATAATCCATGCAAAATAACCACTACTGCTCCAGAGTAAGTAGTCAAACCGTTTAAGAACAGTTTGACAACTTACCTGGGGTCTGCTGGGATATGGGGCTGTAGTAGGGAATAGGAGCAGTGGTGCAATGTGTGTGAAAGGTTCAGTGTGTGTGGGGGTGTAGTGTGTGAATGTGTAGGGTGTGTGGGGCAATGTGTGTATGAGGGGGCTGTGTATGTGTGTGGCAATGTTAGCATGGGGGGCTGTGTGTATATGGGTGGGCAGTGTATGTGTGTGTGTGAGGCAATGTGTGTAAATGTGTATGGTGTATGTGGGAGCAGTGTGTGTATGGGGTAAGTGTGTAAATGTGTATGGTGTGTGTGTGTGGGGGCAGTGTGTTTATGGGGCTAGAGTTCACTCTCACCACTGTGACCACCACAAATCCCTGGGTGTCACAGTGTTGAGAGTGAACTCTAGCCCGTAGCTCCAGGGCTAGAGTTGACTCTCGCAAGAGCAGTAACGTTGCCATGGTAACCGCGGCAACGCTCTGTGCTCGCGCAAGAAGGACCCAGAGGAGCTGCAGGGTGAGCTCCCAGGTCCTCTCTTCCTCCCTCCCCTGCCCGCATGGTGCCTGCGGACAGGGGAGGGGGGGCAATTGCCCTGTTGCCTCCATGGATCCACCAGTGATATATACAGCCCTTCTGTGTGCCTTTTTGTCTCCCCCCGTCCCTCTGTATGTTTCTTTCTCCCCCCTCCTTCCCAGTCTCTCTTACCCCTCTGCCTCTTTCTCCCTCTCTTCCACTGTTTTTCTCCCCCCTTTCCCTGTCTCTCTCTCCCCCACATCTCTCTTCCTCTCTGTCTCTTTCTCCCCCCTCCCCATCTCTCTGTTCTCCCCTCTTTCTCCCCCTCCCCATCTCTCTGTTCTCACCTCTTTCTCCCCCCTCCCCATCTCTCTGTTCTTCCCTCTTTCTCCCCCCTCCCCATCTCTCTGTTCTTCCTCTTTCTCCATCTTCTCCCCTCCCTGTCTCCCTGTTCATCTCTCTTCTCCTCTTTCTCCCCCTCCCATCTCTCTCTTCTCCTCTTTCTCCCCTCCCCCTCCCCATATCTCATTTCTCCCCCCCTCCCCATCTCTCTCCCCTCATCTCCCTCCAATCTCTCTGTTCTTCCTCTTTCTCCCCCTCCTCCCCAATCCTCTCCCTCCTCCATCTCCCCTGTTTCTCCCTCTCCATCTCTCCCCACCGTTTCTCCCCCTCTCCATCTCCCCCCTCTTTCTCCCCCTCCCATCTC